AGTCAGAAGGAGAATCATTAAACTATCGTTGCTTCTGTTTGAATGTAGAAATTAGTTTCGATTTGATTAGTAAACTGACGTGTATTTCGTTCAATTTTTCTGATATGAACGCGAAAATGCTGTGTAAAAGTAATTCTTACAAAACGGAGTGTGAATCGAGCTATTCGAAACTTCCTGATCAGTGAACATTCAGACGTTAAATTCTGAACTATGTATACAAACGACTTTTGTTCAGTCATTGAAAAGACAGCGGATTTTACTGCACCAACTTATGACACGTAATTTAGTTTCAGGTCTTTTTATCGTGCCTCATTTCCTATCAGTGCATTTCTCCTCCTTGAGACACTGATATTAACCTCACCATCCTTCAATTTGAGTTGGATGCTATTCAATCCTGTCAATACATGCGAATGTATAGCATGAGAATGATATAACGGAAGGGTGTAACTCATTTTGCTGAACGCCTCTTCTCTCATACAAATAAAATCGCTGTTTAATGCCCGTAGAAATAATTATCAAAATTAGTGAAATTATATATATATATATATATGCATGTACATCAGAATGACCTTAACATATGACAAGACAAGCGAAAAGTCACATGATTGAGATGACAACGTCGTCTGAATTGAAGCATTTTGTAAAATACCGCCAGACAAGTTCAGAACGAAGAATACAGCTTCACAATAGTTTAAAGGTGGTTAGAATATGCATCAAGTGAGGCTGATCGGCGAAATTATCACCCTCAAAATAGAAAGAGAGATAAGTAGTTTGAGAAAATAAGCGAACAGACCTTGACTGTGTGTTTGTGAAATTATCTGTTGATTTATCAAAGAAACTGGATCTTCTCTAAGTACGTAGTACACAATCGATTATGGGTGTATTTTCAGGGTTATATGAGTCTTCAATGGCGATCTAGAGCAAAGTAGTTGTAATGTGCTTCACTTTCGAGAGCGATATTAGTTGTGAGTGGACTTGAAATGCATATGATTGTGCATCAAGAAGTATCATAATGTGTTGTAGTAAACCATTTCAGTCTTGATGTGGAATGGTAATTTTACATGTCTATGTTTCATCTTCGTTTAACTAGTGCACTGCATTTATTCCCACCTGTACTTAGTATGACGTCATTCATCCACCTACATTTGCATTACTCTTATTCTCATTAGCATTATTCAAACTACTATTCAATGGAGTGGAATACAATCACTTCATTCTGTTTGTTATGTGTCACTCTTTTAATTTTGTTCAGATCATGGTGCTTAATGAATACATAACATAGATGGAAATATTTAGCTATGGTGTTTAATCCACATAGAAGCTACTCAAAATCTAGTCTGACAAATTCGTATGAGTTAAGACATATTAGATAAGGGCACAGTAGGTACACGGATTTTTCAAACACATCAACTACAAAGTATAGGTAGTTCAGTTCACTCATGAAATGGAAAGTCTAGATGGGAAGCTTCAATTGTCAGATCGTTGCGTTAAAAACAAAGAAGATGGAAAGTTAAACACTAGGGTTAACAGGAAATCCACGGTTTCAAAGTGATGTAAGAATTCCGGACAATCTCATACGAAGTGAATAAAAGTAAGGCTTGGTGAAATGTTTAATCAGTAAGGCACAAGTAGTGAATAGTATCAAGGAGCATCTGAGAGAGAAAGTGAGGCATTTGAAAGAAACTTTAAAACCTAACAATTACCTTGCTGATTTAATCAAGAAGTATATAGCAAAATGTGAAGATAAAAGTAATAGTAATAATAAAGGTAATAATAGTGATAATAACAATATTGTTATTAATGACAACATGCATATCAAAGAAGCACAGATTAATGACAACACCAACAATGGGGAATAAATGCCATCAGTGGCACTTCAATACAAAATAGGAATCTTCGAAAACTTACGGAAAATTGTTAACAATATAGGTAGGAATGAGAGTGGCTGGCATTCAAACCCACAAACTCAATATAAAATAGGGTTTGTTGGTTAAAGGATCCTCTTCAACCAATTAAACAAAATAATTTGGTGAAGCTTATACTCTTACTGCAATGACTGTCAGGTCAAATACATAGGTCAAAGTAGTAGAACAGGGGTATTCAGACTAGTCGAGCATACAAAACTAGCAAAATCTAGATTAGTTGACCTGGATAAGATAAGAAATCGAGAGAATGGTTCAGCTATAGCACTACATGCAACTACAAAGAATCATACAATAGGATAGGATAAGATGGAAGATTTAAAATCGAATGTCACAGGGTGGAGTGAGGGAGAGATTGATAACAGAAGCTTTGTTCATCGAATCTACTGGGAATGCATATGATAGCAACGATTCAACAACTGTCCATCCAGACATCTGGGAAGTTATACTACCTCTAAGACTAATAGGAAGAAATAAATAGAATCATAAAACTCCATTTTCGCCGTGCAGCTATTCTTGATATGATTATGAATAATAAATTGTGTTCGAAGCGTCGGTCAGCGAATAATACTAATTCACTGCATGATATATGTTAAAAACAAACCAATGTGGAATTACATGGAATGATCTTCATAGGTAGCGGTGGCAGTATGGATAGACTGGTCCTTTAAATGTCCTTTATCTGTTTGATCATCGTGGTTTCCAATGCAAACCGAAAATATTCAAATCAGTACAGGTGATGGAAGTCAGGGAAACAAAAGAGACAGCTAAACCTTTTTTATATTACAGCTTGAAACCATGGAGTATTTTTGGTACGAGTTTCGAATTTTCAGTATGTAATATCGATAGCTCAAATTTTGCAGGCCCACCATTGTTATCAGATGGGCATCGGCAGGGGATCGAAACCCGGACTATGTGCATGGTGGGCGAGAGTCCTAACCGCTGTGACACCAACTATATAATATTTTCCTTCGTGCATGTGTAGAAATTCGGTCTACACTGTTTGCAATGCATGTTTTGCAGCTACTCATATAAATAAGTAGTATATACCATCGTATATGAGTGTTTGTGAAATCAGCCCACTATGTCAATAAAACCTCTCTAGCGCTTGAACACTCTGCTAATAACTTAGAAATCAATTATACATGGAGTGTATCTACTCTTTAACTAATCCATCTCAAAGTGAACTTTGATATCATTTCTATATTTTTATGATGTTTGAGTCATCTAAACAAATATAATCAGTTAAACTTTTGAGAAATGCATGCATGTTATTCCCTGATCACTTGAAATAAATAATAATTCGAAGTGAGGTGAATAGTAATAATATGGTTTCATGCACATAAGACGCTTAACAATTTAGATGCATACTACATTGCTTCTTCCTTTAATTTGTTTCCAAGTGGCCAGTTTGCAAACTCATTACAGTTCTACAGACAGTCTGTTCAAACCGAATAATTCATTGGTGATGCCTGTGAGTGCTGCACTTAGTGATGTCGGTTTCAATGTCAGTGAATGTACAACTTCTATACATATTGTAGATTAACGGTATAGATAGTTGTAGTTGGACATTTAACAACTCCTTTTCGTTCCCTAACATGTCTATGGGAACACTGGATTTCAAGCTATGAGGATTCAGAAAAAAAGTTGCTGATTTTATGGGTAACGTTGCTAGCCTCACGCTCAATCTTCCCACTTTTTCTGACATACCACGGTCTAGGAATCTGGGAGAGGAGGCTTAAGAGCGCGTCAGTCAGGAATCGAAATTAGGCCACCAATTCGTCTGTCAAGTATTCTGTCTTTGAACCACTGACGCACGCCAATTGTCAATGGTCGCGATCGTATCCAATGGGTCCCCATAGCCTGTCGGTGGTTTAGCAGTAGAATGCTTGACAAACATGCATGTGGTCAGGAGTTTGATTCCCAGCCGACGGACTCAGAAACCTCATCCAGCAAGTAGGTTGGATATGAGGCTATCAACTGCATCCCGTAAGAAATGAACACCACTACTAATGAGACGTAGAAGCTCGGGATTGAAGACCTACGTTGCACTCAGACCACAAGAAATGAAATATAGAAATAATGTCTGAAATCATATTCTGTGTTAAATGCATTGATTGAATTACAGTGTGAGAGAAGTTTATCTCTACAACAGTGGCGATCTACAGTAGCCTGAAAGACGAGGTCTAACCTGTGGCCGATACTATGCGCATTCATCAGATTGTTTGCTTCTGCGGGGTCAGATAGACCGGTTGATCAACTCAGATTCTGTCTGAGAAGGAGTTTAAAACATTTCTCTGAATGATTGCAGAAAGTTAGGAACACCTACTGAAGAGATGTAATAACAGTAAGCAACTCTTTTACAATGACCACTGTGCTTCAGAAACTCCTGATTGCAACTCATTCAACACAAAATTATTCTCATTACACAGCCTTGTTAACTTAATCAAACTTCTCTTATGTGCTGATTAATATCAGCAACTGCGCATATGACCATTCATGTATTCTGTTGCTAATGATTTTTGTAGAAGTCATCGTTGTGCATAAATGTAACTGTACAACTAGAATGAATTCGAATTCCCAGAAGAGCCACTACACTGAACCACTTGACTAGTTTTATTCCGATCATGTTTACATGAGGGTTATTTATGAATAAATGTATCCATGCGCCATTTATCATCTCAATTCCTTTGCTTCACCTGCTTTGCATTGATTCACTTCACTGACAGTAAAATATTCCTCGTCTCTGAAGTAGATATCACACGTCGTTTATACAGGTGTTTATATCAGGTGTGTACTCGAGAAATACAGCCTCGATTTATGAGTCGGTTGACAGTGACTAGCAGGAGAGTCCAAATACTCATTTCTTCATACTGATCTTCATCCATCGTTGAATCATCTACACTAGGAGGCAACGCATCAACAGAGACTGAGCATTTTAACACATTATGATCAATCAGCGGACAAACGAATCAACATGAGCAAATAAAGACTCCGAAAATCAACTCTAATTATTCTATAAGGAATCTGTTACATTCTAAGTCCAAATATATTTATGAACAGGAGTGAAAAGCACTCATGTACCTGCCACTCTGAAACTGAAGTCCGTTAGAAATGAAGACGAAGTATATTCACACCTCATGTACAGAAGTGATGTAACAAGTTACGAGTAGAACTGTTATGCTTCACCATTACTATGCATCAATACGGAGAAAGGGTTAGTGGACATCAAGGAGTAACAATGCAACCAACGATATTCCAAATCATAAAATAACTAAAGAATTTATTTACAGAGTATGAAGTTTTAATTTTCATAGAATTCTGAATCGATTTCTAGGGAAGTATGGAGGCTTTTGGAAACAGGTTGAGTAAGAAATTTCCAAATACTTATAAAAATGAGCGAAAAAAGGGAGAAATACACCTTCTCACCACCAAATGCCAATCGGTTGGAATCCTGTCTGAAAGAGTAAAATATATCTTCATCGGAACTAAGTATGATTTCTAGAACAGTGTAAGTCAGAGTAGACAGTGACATCAAAGTTTGCATCCAACCGATTACTTTTCATCTCTTGTATAACTTTCTCCATAACATAATACTCTGTACAGTCGTAAGCAATAGGCTCAAAATCATCATCAAATTTGTTGGCGAAAAACTCCGGTCGTGATGGTATGTATGGGAGATTACCTGCACCTATGATACACACGGAACGACGAACTCTGGAACTTTTACAGCCTTCGTGAGACCATGTCACATAACGTGCAACGAATCGTTTTCGTCTATCTGAATGATTGGTTTCGTGAATTTCGTTGCAAGCAGCTGGTGCACCGAGTGATGGATCGTGGGTTAGCGTTGGGAAGAACAATTCATCCGGATGCTTCTGCAGGTGTCTTTCTGCTTTCATAGCATCGAGTATTTCATTCGCTCTTGGGTCAGTTTGATAGAAGTGTACGAATTCTCGTTTCAATGCCATATAGAAACTGCCTTTGCTCCAGAGGATCTGTGAGTAATCAGAAAAAGAAATTGTAGAAAGCTTCTATTGTGTGTGTGTGTATATTCGTGCTTACTAAATTTCATAGTAAAGTGAAAAAGTACGATGAGGTGTTTGAAACAAAGATTTCTATACTACCTTACTCAAATCAGTCAGAAAGTGGAACACTACATTCCATCAGGATTCAAGTCACAACCCTTTGAATGCCATACTCGCGTCTGGTAGTTCAGGCGACAGACCGTCGAACTAGTAATTTAAACACCACGGGTTCTACACCCACCATCAACCAGATTTTCCTTCTACCTTCAGTTGCCACTCACTACATCAAATTCATGTGTGTCAAGGTGACATGATATGCCATATAGAGAGTTGTGGGCGTTGATCACTGCTCACCTGCCTATACCATGGAAGTTGATTTCCTTCTGGGTCACCAGAAAGTCATAGGTTAACAAGAGAGAACGAAATGAAATGAGAACACATGCACTACAATGGGCAAACACAGAACTAGCAAGTGATAATTAGTTCGGATGGCTTTCGTCAATGGCATTATTTATCAGAAACAGCTATTTAGAACCCATCAATTTTGTTGGGAACCTTCCGATGCATATTGTGCCAAAATGACCAGTTTTACCAGTTTATAAGTTTAACATGCGAACAAGTAGACAGGATGTCGGAACAAACAAGTTTCAAGTTTAACAATAGTGTGCTCGATAAGTGAGTGATAATTCACAACATAAATGAGAAGAGAATAGTGCTCATCAAAGTGGATGTTGACACATGAAATAGAGATACGACGTAAGAAATGAAACAAATTATATACAGTCAGACTGTAAAATAGTGAAGTGAGAGAAGACTTTTTCAAACAAGCATATTTACACCAAAAAGGTGTAAATGAAAATCTTTTGGGCGTAAGTGTAACTGTGTTTCAGGAGTAGAATTCTCGCCAGCTACACACGTTGTCTAGGTTCTATTCTCGTTCAGTGTATCCCTTATACTCACCAAGTCAGTATTTAGCTCTGAAAAGAAGGAAGGCTTGGGGAATCAAGACCTAAACTTGTTGAATGTAGTAGACTATATTTCCACTATGGGTAAGATTTATTTTGATATACTTACATAGTGTTATACAGTAATATTTACTGATGATGTTTCGTGCACAATTTATTGATGGATTTTATAGGATAGCTTTTTGATACCAGCACTTCATCTATCAGTTTTATTTCATCATTTAGGTCTTATTTGTACTACTCAGTGCTACTTCTCGGTCTGTTGGACACTTAGCTAAGCTTGCCTTAACAGTTAACGGATGAGATGAATTAAAGTCTAAATATCTATTGCAATGCTTTGGTTTACATAAGCGCTAGTGTACAGTTTACCTCCTTCTATTCGTTTCGTTTTACAATCTAGCGTCATTGATAATTCCTTTTGTTCATCTTCCAATTCAAATGTGAATTTTATTCCCTTTACTATTGAGTTTAAATGTGTCGAGAAGCTGGAGATATGTTCCATTTTCAACACTGCGAAAATGTCACCCACATATCTCCACCAAATTTTTGGAATAGGATTATATGTATTAGGGACAATATTTTCCCAGCTGTTCATTAGGAAGATCAGAAAAGGTCGGAAGCAAATCCAACGTAATTGTGAAACTAGTAGTGATAACATAAATAAGAGAGAATATAAGGCATCTACTTTTATATCATATAAGGAGGGGACATCTGAGACTCTACGCAGGATTCCTATTAAAGCAGGAATTTCAGTGGTATTTAAACCTTCAAACTCACTCAGGTAGGGCGAGCTCTGTAGGTTTAAGGACCCTTTCGGTTGACCCAATTAGACAAAATAATATAATTTACAAAATACCCTGCAATGACTGTGAGTTAAGTCAACTGCTTAGGTCGAACTAGGAGGTTGGGGGTAGTCAGTTAGGCGGAACATAAGAATATAGCCAAGGTAAGAATGGCTGACCCTGAGAAGATAAGCAATTTAGAAAAAAGCTCTCCGATTGCACTGCATGCATAAACAGTGCACAACCACATAATAGGGTAGGAGAGGGTTAAAATTCTATAAAGTAATATACGTAGGTGGAGAGGGAGGTTGATTACTGAATCCTTGTTCATCGAGTCTACACCAAACATGTGCAATAGGAATGACTCATCATTCATGCCAGAAATATGGAAAATACTACTTTGAATTTTATTTATTTTTATTTTATATTTGATTTACAGCTTGATTCCACACTGTATTTTTGGTACAAATATGGAATTTTCAGCATGGATATCGGTAGCCCAAATTTTGCAGGCCGACCATAGATATCAGGTGTGCGTCGGTGCGGGATCGAACCCCGGAACATGTCCATGGTCGGCGAGAAAAATAATGGAATATAATGAAATTATATAAACGAAGTTAAAATGTTTTGTGAGTACCTCGATATGATTATGAGCGATGAACTGTGCTCGAAACATGATGAGTAAATATTACTGTTTAACACTGTGAGACTTTATCAAAATAAATTTTACCCACAATGGAATTAGGGCATGAAGTGAGTAACACTTTTAACAGAGTGTACGTTTTATCAGATTACGTTCGACTAAAAGTTCATGATGTTAGATAACGGAAAATGAAAATAAATGTGTATATGCAGTATACAATATTATGTATGTACGGATAAACAGTTGTAAATCATTTGTTAGCCTCTCCATAAGAAGATGTAGACAGTCGGGAATTTAGACCAAATACGATTAATTAGTGATACATATATATTTTCATCTAATAATCAGGATTTTCCATGCATCAGCTAAAACTGCACCTTCACGTATGTCCACAGTGTTCGAACTCACTCATACATGCAGGGCTTGCGCAGTCAGTCTTTCTTTATTCGAACCAAAACCTTCCTGTACAACCACAGTCTTATCAAATTGCAATTTGTGTCCTGTTTCTATCGAATTCAGTGCAATCGCTGATCTGATTCCTGGCTTCTTTAAGTCTACAGAGGTCTTCAGAACCACCTTCAGACATTGCTTATGCTCTTTCACTCTTATATGCACCTGTATGGAAGTTTCTACTGCATACACGGCGTCTAGTGAACACAAATATCTTGGATACTTTTTTCTGTTTCATCATGAACCCCCATCAGTGACGAGCATAAGGTGTTATTTGCACAAAAATACGCGCCCATTTTATGATTGTTAGGGATTCATTACTTCTGATCCAATGTTTCTTTGAGGTAAGGAATCACCGCTCCACTAACACGCTTCGTAACAACAGGTTTCAATTCATCCTTATCTTCATATTTTAAACATCTTTTCATAAAGCCGAACAATTTCAGATACCTGAAAAGTAGACCACTTATTCGCTTATAATATATTCACTACTGAACACACCTCTCATTTGAATGACCGGTTGCTATCTCTGTAAAGATCAATGGAGAAGACGTAGAGACAGGAAAGATGAACACAGACCCTTCGAGTATTGGTCATCCAGAAAGCGAATGAGATGTAACATATGAGAAGATCTTACCGGGAATGTGAAATTCTTTGCTGGCCATCGGGATGGATTATGCCGTGGACCTAGACCTTCAACAACATTCGACCCATTGATTGCCTTCAAAGCTGTTACCAACTCCCGATTGGTTCTCAGTGGCAATTCCTGTCCATTCACATTCAGAATGTATTTCCACTTGTATTCAGTCTTGTTCATCAATTTGTCAGCACAGAGGAGAAACACTTCGAGGATGGAGTAATAACCCCATTGAACGTCAATGCTTTCCGATCGATTCACTACCATCACATTCGGACCAAAACAATTGGCTAGTGCTAACACTTCATTATAAAATGATTGTTGTGACTTAGAGTCAACGTGAATACAGTACAGATTGTGTTGTCTGTGTATCAGTCGGAGTAATCGAGACACCTGTTTGATGTTATCGTGTACAGCTATACTGAAGGCTAGCGGGAAATCTTTCTCCTCCATCGATGGTTGAACTACATGTCCTTGGAATAACTTGAATTCACGACAAACATCGGTATTGGATAAATTTGAATAGTTCACGTCCCATTTCACCTGAATACTTTCAATAACTGCTTGACTATAATTTTTCACAGGCTTTCTGAAGAAATATTCGCATACGCTTTTGAGTTCATCGTAGCGTTCAATTGATAACTGGTGCTTATTATCTCTGGAATCGGTTAGCGAATGAAATAAACTATGTAATATGTACAATGATGTGAGCAAGAAAACTCCTATGATTACATTTCTGATTAGACAGCGATGACTGAATTTAGTTACGAATCCCTTCATTCGCGAGACAATTGTTTCAAGTTTGTGTAAATACATCCTTTTCCACTATTCAGTAAACAATTGCATAGGTAGGTATCAACAATAATTCAAATGAATAATGAGTAATCAAATTGGATTCCATGTCTAGTTGAGAACTAGGTGATCTTTATACTTTGTGAAGACCAAACAGTAGTCATCTAAGTGTTGAACGCTCTGTATTGAGTAAAATATTTCAAAGAAGAATACTGAAATGTGATTTGATAATAACCGTGATGGTAAATAATTGATTACTTAATTCACCAACTAAGTGACTGATTGACTGACTGAGTGACTGACTAACCAACTAACAAGCTGACCATTTGACATAATTAAAATGATTTCAAAATATTGTAAACTAAATAAATAAATACATTAGCTAGTCTCATTTAAATTCTACTAATTTCACTAAACACCATAAATGTACTACTAGTATGTGCACAGATTTCATTTCTTCTTGAATTCCAAATGCTCTTTAATACTAGTCGGCAAATTATCACAACACAGTGTCACCTATTCATTCAATGGTCAATAACCAGTCAATGTAACCCGTATTACAGTGTTTAGTCCTTTCGGCCTAACTCAATTCGGTGATTCAACTTTGCAGTGTAAGCATTCAGGTAGGAGACACACCAGTAGGGTACAGTTCAAAGTAAACAGCAGGAAGCTTTCTGAATGATGTCTCATGTTAACTGGGACTGTTCACCAAGATTTATCTACAGCTGAATCAGGGCTGGAGTGTCATCAGATATCGAAATCCACGCCACCCATCGCCACAGTTTCAGACAGTATCACTGAGTTTCGGAATTCTTGCATGATTAGCCAATAACTAGTAAAAATCTGTACATTTATTCTTCACGGTTTGGTTTATAAAACCTTTCACTGAATCAGTCCGATGATGTACGTGAAATGGGTAATGAGTCAGGGGGTTTAGAAATCAGCCTCAACATTTTAAGCATGGATAACTCGCTTCAAGTTCAGCAATCGTCAGAGAAGAGTGTGTTCGTTTTCTCTTGCATACGTGTGTCTGAGGTCAATACACGACATTGTGATAAATTATTATTGTTTCACCAGTCTTTGTCCAAATGATTCGATCCTGGCAAATTCGCTACAAACGACTTCCGTTTTCTAAATTCTGTAAGCATATTCGCAGTTTGTGCAAGATCTTGATGTTGCATGTTCTATTCATCTGTTGATTCTATGATGAAAATCACACGTTATATGTCGCTAGGCGTATAACACTGGTCATTGGGTGACATGGGTTTAAATCTCAGAGAGGACATGAGTTCCTTCAAAGTTGCACATACGCCTTGTCGACTGGTGAGTGGCGACTAGCACGAAACCTATGTCGAAGACTTCCTTCCGACTGCCTCTAACGTAACTACGTAATGCATAATCCATTACGGATGTATTTTCAGGGTTATATGAGTCTTCAATGGCGATCTAGAGCAAAGTAGTTGTAATGTGCTTCACTTTCGAGAGCGATATTGGTTGTGAGTGGACTTGAAATGCATATGATTGTGCATCAAGAAGTATCATAATGTGTTGTAGTAAATCATTTCAGTCTTGATGTGTAATGGTAATTTTACATGTCTATGTTTCATCTTCGTTTAACTAGTGCACTGCATTTATTCCCACCTGTACTTAGTATGACCTCATTCATCCACCTACATTTGCATTACTCTTATTCTCATTAGCATTATTCAAACTACTCTTCTTGTGATGACTCTTTCAACTGTTTTATTTGAGAAAATATCTTCATGAGATGAATAATCCTACCTTTAAAAATGCTGAAAATAATTTCTAGAAACTACTTTCACTACCTCATTAGGTGGTATTGGGAAATACCAAAGGGTGCTGACTAGTTTTAATGCATACTAGCTGACAACTTGAAACATTCAACTACAAGTTTTTTATTCCAAAATGTACATACTCGTTTTAATTTTCGGATTTCAGATAACCGATGAGTGGAATACGATCAGTTCATACTCTGTGTTAACTTTCACTCTTTCAATTTTGTTTAAGTCCATGGTGGCTTATAAATACATAAGATAGATGGGAATATTTAGCTGTGGTATTAAATCCACATAGAAGCTGCTCAGACTGTAGACTGACAAATCCTTATGAACTGAAACATAGATTAGATAAGGACACAGGAGATAAAATGGAAAAGACTAGGGTAAGCTGTACACTAGCGCATATATAAACCAACGTTTCCCAATAGATATCTGGACTTTAATTCATCTCATCTGTTAACTATTAATGCAGTGAAAAAGCATAAGCAATGTCTGAAGGTGGTTCTGAAGACCTCTGTAGACTTAAAGAAGCCAGGAATCAGATCAGCGATTGCACTGAATTCGATAGAAACAGGACACAAATTGCAATTTGATAAGACTGTGGTTGTACAGGAAGGTTTTGGTTCGAATAAAGAAAGACTGACTGCGCAAGCCCTGCATGTATGAGTGAGTTCGAACACTGTGGACATACGTGAAGGTGCAGTTTTAGCTGATGCATGGAAAATCCTGATTATTAGATGAAAATATATATGTATCACTAATTAATCGTATTTGGTCTAAATTCCCGACTGTCTACATCTTCTTATGGAGAGGCTAACAAATGATTTACAACTGTTTATCCGTACATACATAATATTGTATACTGCATATACACATTTATTTTCATTTTCCGTTATCTAACATCATGAACTTTTAGTCGAACGTAATCTGATAAAACGTACACTCTGTTAAAAGTGTTACTCACTTCATGCCCTAATTCCATTGTGGGTAAAATTTATTTTGATAAAGTCTCACAGTGTTAAACAGTAATATTTACTCATCATGTTTCAAGCACAGTTCATCGCTCATAATCATATCGAGGTACTCACAAAACATTTTAACTTCGTTTATATAATTTCATTATATTCCATTATTTTTCTCGCCGACCATGGACATGTTCCGGGGTTCGATCCCGCACCGACGCACACCTGATATCTATGGTCGGCCTGCAAAATTTGGGCTACCGATATCCATGCTGAAAATTCCATATTTGTACCAAAAATACAGTGTGGAATCAAGCTGTAAATCAAATATAAAATAAAAATAAATAAAATTCAAAGTAGTATTTTCCATATTTCTGGCATGAATGATGAGTCATTCCTATTGCACATGTTTGGTGTAGACTCGATGAACAAGGATTCAGTAATCAACCTCCCTCTCCACCTACGTATATTACTTTATAGAATTTTAACCCTCTCCTACCCTATTATGTGGTTGTGCACTGTTTATGCATGCAGTGCAATCGGAGAGCTTTTTTCTAAATTGCTTATCTTCTCAGGGTCAGCCATTCTTACCTTGGCTATATTCTTATGTTCCGCCTAACTGACTACCCCCAACCTCCTAGTTCGACCTAAGCAGTTGACTTAACTCACAGTCATTGCAGGGTATTTTGTAAATTATATTATTTTGTCTAATTGGGTCAACCGAAAGGGTCCTTAAACCTACAGAGCTCACCCTACCTGAGTGAGTTTGAAGGTTTAAGTACCACTGAAATTCCTGCTTTAATAGGAATCCTGCGTAGAGTCTCAGATGTCCCCTCCTTATATGATATAAAAGTAGATGCCTTATATTCTCTCTTATTTATGTTATCACTACTAGTTTCACAATTACGTTGGATTTGCTTCCGACCTTTTCTGATCTTCCTAATGAACAGCTGGGAAAATATTGTCCCTAATACATATAATCCTATTCCAAAAATTTGGTGGAGATATGTGGGTGACATTTTCGCAGTGTTGAAAATGGAACATATCTCCAGCTTCTCGACACATTTAAACTCAATAGTAAAGGGAATAAAATTCACATTTGAATTGGAAGATGAACAAAAGGAATTATCAATGACGCTAGATTGTAAAACGAAACGAATAGAAGGAGGTAAACTGTACACTAGCGCTTATGTAAACCAAAGCATTGCAATAGATATTTAGACTTTAATTCATCTCATCCGTTAACTGTTAAGGCAAGCTTAGCTAAGTGTCCAACAGACCGAGAAGTAGCACTGAGTAGTACAAATAAGACCTAAATGATGAAATAAAACTGATAGATGAAGTGCTGGTATCAAAAAGCTATCCTATAAAATCCATCAATAAATTGTGCTCGAAACATCATCAGTAAATATTACTGTATAACACTGTGTAACTTTATCAAAATAAATCTTACCCATAGTGGAAATATAGTCTACTACATTCAACAAGTTTAGGTCTTGATTCCCCAAGCCTTCCTTCTTTTCAGAGCTAAATACTGACTTGGTGAGTATAAGGGATACACTGAACGAGAATAGAACCTAGACAACGTGTGTAGCTGGCGAGAATTCTACTCCTGAAACACAGTTACACTTACGCCCAAAAGATTTTCATTTACACCTTTTTGGTGTAAATATGCTTGTTTGAAAAAGTCTTCTCTCACTTCACTATTTTACAGTCTGACTGTATATAATTTGTTTCATTTCTTACGTCGTATCTCTATTTCATGTGTCAACATCCACTTTGATGAACACTATTCTCTTCTCATTTATGTTGTGAATTATCACTCACTTATCGAGCACACTATTGTTAAACTTGAAACTTGTTTGTTCCGACATCCTGTCTACTTGTTCGCATGTTAAACTTATAAACTGGTAAAACTGGTCATTTTGGCACAATATGCATCGGAAGGTTCCCAACAAAATTGATGGGTTCTAAATAGCTGTTTCTGATAAATAATGCCATTGACGAAAGCCATCCGAACTAATTATCACTTGCTAGTTCTGTGTTTGCCCATTGTAGTGCATGTGTTCTCATTTCATTTCGTTCTCTCTTGTTAACCTATGACTTTCTGGTGACCCAGAAGGAAATCAACTTCCATGGTATAGGCAGGTGAGCAGTGATCAACGCCCACAACTCTCTATATGGCATATCATGTCACCTTGACACACATGAATTTGATGTAGTGAGTGGCAACTGAAGGTAGAAGGAAAATCTGGTTGATGGTGGGTGTAGAACCCGTGGTGTTTAAATTACTAGTTCGACGGTCTGTCGCCTGAACTACCAGACGCGAGTATGGCATTCAAAGGGTTGTGACTTGAATCCTGATGGAATGTAGTGTTCCACTTTCTGACTGATTTGAGTAAGGTAGTATAGAAATCTTTGTTTCAAACACCTCATCGTACTTTTTCACTTTACTATGAAATTTAGTAAGCACGAATATACACACACACATAATAGAAGCTTTCTACAATTTCTTTTTCTGATTACTCACAGATCCTCTGGAGCAAAGGCAGTTTCTATATGGCATTGAAACGAGAATTCGTACACTTCTATCAAACTGACCCAAGAGCGAATGAAATACTCGATGCTATGAAAGCAGAAAGACACCTGCAGAAGCATCCAGATGAATTGTTCTTCCCAACGCTAACCCACGATCCATCACTCGGTGCACCAGCTGCTTGCAACGAAATTCACGAAACCAATCATTCAGATAGACGAAAACGATTCGTTGCACGTTATGTGACATGGTCTCACGAAGGCTGTAAAAGTTCCAGAGTTCGTCGTTCCGTGTGTATCATAGGTGCAGGTAATCTCCCATACATACCATCACAACCGGAGTTTTTCGCCAACAAATTTGATGATGATTTTGAGCCTATTGCTTACGACTGTACAGAGTATTATGTTATGGAGAAAGTTATACAAGAGATGAAAAGTAATCGGTTGGATGCAAACTTTGATGTCACTGTCTACTCTGACTTACACTGTTCTAGAAATCATACTTAGTTCCGATGAAGATATATTTTACTCTTTCAGACAGGATTCCAACCGATTGGCATTTGGTGGTGAGGTGTATTTCTCCCTTTTTTCGCTCATTTTTATAAGTATTTGGAAATTTCTTACTCAACCTGTTTCCAAAAGCCTCCATACTTCCCTAGAAATCGATTCAGAATTCTATGAAAATTAAAACTTCATACTCTGTAAATAAATTCTTTAGTTATTTTATGATTTGGAATATCGTTGGTTGCATTGTTACTCCTTGATGTCCACTAACCCTTTCTCCGTATTGATGCATAGTAATGGTGAAGCATAACAGTTCTACTCGTAACTTGTTACATCACTTCTGTACATGAGGTGTGAATATACTTCGTCTTCATTTCTAACGGACTTCAGTTTCAGAGTGGCAGGTACATGAGTGCTTTTCACTCCTGTTCATAAATATATTTGGACTTAGAATGTAACAGATTCCTTATAGAATAATTAGAGTTGATTTTCGGAGTCTTTATTTGCTCATGTTGATTCGTTTGTCCGCTGATTGATCATAATGTGTTAAAATGCTCAGTCTCTGTTGATGCGTTGCCTCCTAGTGTAGATGATTCAACGATGGATGAAGATCAGTATGAAGAAATGAGTATTTTGGACTCTCCTGCTAGTCACTGTCAACCGACTCATAAATCGAGGCTGTATTTCTCGAGTACACACCTGATATAAACACCTGTATAAACGACGTGTGATATCTACTTCAGAGACGAGGAATATTTTACTGTCAGTGAAGTGAATCAATGCAAAGCAGGTGAAGCAAAGGAATTGAGATGATAAATGGCGCATGGATACATTTATTCATAAATAACCCTCATGTAAACATGATCGGAATAAAACTAGTCAAGTGGTTCAGTGTAGTGGCTCTTCTGGGAATTCGAATTCATTCTAGTTGTACAGTTACATTTATGCACAACGATGACTTCTACAAAAATCATTAGCAACAGAATACATGAATGGTCATATGCGCAGTTGCTGATATTAATCAGCACATAAGAGAAGTTTGATTAAGTTAACAAGGCTGTGTAATGAGAATAATTTTGTGTTGAATGAGTTGCAATCAGGAGTTTCTGAAGCACAGTGGTCATTGTAAAAGAGTTGCTTACTGTTATTACATCTCTTCAGTAGGTGTTCCTAACTTTCTGCAATCATTCAGAGAAATGTTTTAAACTCCTTCTCAGACAGAATCTGAGTTGATCAACCGGTCTATCTGACCCCGCAGAAGCAAACAATCTGATGAATGCGCATAGTATCGGCCACAGGTTAGACCTCGTCTTTCAGGCTACTGTAGATCGCCACTGTTGTAGAGATAAACTTCTCTCACACTGTAATTCAATCAATGCATTTAACACAGAATATGATTTCAGACATTATTTCTATATTTCATTTCTTGTGGTCTGAGTGCAACGTAGGTCTTCAATCCCGAGCTTCTACGTCTCATTAGTAGTGGTGTTCATTTCTTACGGGATGCAGTTGATAGCCTCATATCCAACCTACTTGCTGGATGAGGTTTCTGAGTCCGTCGGCTGGGAATCAAACTCCTGACCACATGCATGTTTGTCAAGCATTCTACTGCTAAACCACCGACAGGCTATGGGGACCCATTGGATACGATCGCGACCATTGACAATTGGCGTGCGTCAGTGGTTCAAAGACAGAATACTTGACAGACGAATTGGTGGCCTAATTTCGATTCCTGACTGACGCGCTCTTAAGCCTCCTCTCCCAGATTCCTAGACCGTGGTATGTCAGAAAAAGTGGGAAGATTGAGCGTGAGGCTAGCAACGTTACCCATAAAATCAGCAACATTTTTTCTGAATCCTCATAGCTTGAAATCCAGTGTTCCCATAGACATGTTAGGGAACGAAAAGGAGTTGTTAAATGTCCAACTACAACTATCTATACCGTTAATCTACAATATGTATAGAAGTTGTGCATTCACTGACATTGAAACCGACATCACTAAGTGCAGCACTCACAGGCATCACCAATCAATTATTCGGTTTTGAACAGACTGTTTGTAGAACTGTAATGAGTTTGCAAACTGGCCACTTGGAAACAAATTAAAGGAAGAAGCAATGTAGTATGCATCTAAATTGTTAAGCGTCTTATGTGCATGAAACCATATTATTACTATTCACCTCACTTCGAATTATTATTTATTTCAAGTGATCAGGGAATAACATGCATGCATTTCTCAAAAGTTTAACTGATTATATTTGTTTAGATGACTCAAACATCATAAAAATATAGAAATGATATCAAAGTTCACTTTGAGATGGATTAGTTAAAGAGTAGATACACTCCATGTATAATTGATTTCTAAGTTATTAGCAGAGTGTTCAAGCGCTAGAGAGGTTTTATTGACATAGTGGGCTGATTTCACAAACACTCATATACGATGGTATATACTACTTATTTATATGAGTAGCTGCAAAACATGCATTGCAAACAGTGTAGACCGAATTTCTACACATGCACGAAGGAAAATATTATATAGTTGGTGTCACAGCGGTTAGGACTCTCGCCCACCATGCACATAGTCCGGGTTTCGATCCCCTGCCGATGCCCATCTGATAACAATGGTGGGCCTGCAAAATTTGAGCTATCGATATTACATGGTAAAAATTCGAAACTCGTACCAAAAATACTCCATGGTTTCAAGCTGTAATATAAAAAAGGTTTAGCTGTCTCTTTTGTTTCCCTGACTTCCATCACCTGTACTGATTTGAATATTTTCGGTTTGCATTGGAAACCACGATGATCAAACAGATAAAGGACATTTAAAGGACCAGTCTATCCATACTGCCACCGCTACCTATGAAGATCATTCCATGTAATTCCACATTGGTTTGTTTTTAACATATATCATGCAGTGAATTAGTATTATTCACTGACCGACGCTTCGAACACAATTTATTATTCATAATCACATCAAGAATAGCTGCACGGCGAAAATGGAGTTTTATGATTCTATTTATTTCTTCCTATTAGTCTTAGAGGTAGTATAACTTCCCAGATGTCTGGATGGACAGTTGTTGAATCGTTGCTATCATATGCATTCCCAGTAGATTCGATAAACAAAGCTTCTGTTATCAATCTCTCCCTCACTCCACCCTGTGACATTCGATTTTAAATCTTCCATCTTATCCTATCCTATTGTATGATTCTTTGTAGTTGCATGTAGTGCTATAGCTGAACCATTCTCTCGATTTCTTATCTTATCCAGGTCAACTAATCTAGATTTTGCTAGTTTTGTATGCTCGACTAGTCTGAATACCCCTGTTCTACTACTTTGACCTATGTATTTGACCTGACAGTCATTGCAGTAAGAGTATAAGCTTCACCAAATTATTTTGTTTAATTGGTTGAAGAGGATCCTTTAACCAACAAACCCTATTTTAAATTGAGTTTGTGGGTTTGAATGCCAGCCACTCTCATTCCTACCTATATTGTTAACAATTCTCCGTAAGTTTTCGAAGATTCCTATTTTGTATTGAAGTGCCACTGATGGCATTTATTCCCCATTGTTGGTGTTGTCATTAATCTGTGCTTCTTTGATATGCATGTTGTCATTAATAACAATATTGTTATTATCACTAATATTACCTTTATTATTACTATTACTTTTATCTTCACATTTTGCTATATACTTCTTGATTAAGTCAGCAGGGTAATTTTTAGTTTTTAAAGTTTCTTTCACATGCCTCACTTCCTGTCTCACTACTTGTGCCCTATGAATTAAACATTTCACCAATCCTTACTTTAATTCACTTAGCATGAGATTGACCGGATTTCAACCATCGCTATGAAAATGTCGGTTTCCTGTTAACCCTAGTGTTTAACTTGCCATCATCTTTCATTTATACGTTCAAATCTAACATTTGAAGCTTCCCATCCAGACTTTCCAACTAATGAGTGAATTGAATTACCTCTACCTTCTAATTGATGTGTTTGAAAAATCTGTGTATCTCCTGTGTGCTTATCTAATCTGCGTTTTCTCTGATAAGAATTTGTCAATCTAGCTTCTTTGTGGATTTAATACCACAGCTAAATATTTCCATCTATGTTATGTATTCATTAAGCACCATGATCTGAACAAAATTAAAAGAGTGACACATAACAAACAGAATGAAGTGATTGCATTCCACTCCATTGAATAGTGGTTTGAATAATGCTAATGAGAATAAGAGTAATGCAAATGTAGGTGGATGAATGAGGTCATACTAAGTACAGGTGGGAATAAATGCAGTGCACTAGTTAAACGAAGATGAAACATAGACATGTAAAATTACCATTCCACATCAAGACTGAAATGATTTACTACAATACACTATGATACTTCTTGTTTCACAATCATATGCATTTCAAGTCCACTCACAACTAATATCGCTCTCGAAAGTGAAGCACATTACAACTACTTTGCTCTAGATCGCCATTGAAGACTCATATAACCCTGAAAATACACCCATAATCGATTGTGTACTACGTACTTAGAGAAGATCCAGTTTCTTTGATAAATCAACAGATAATTTCACAAACACACAGTCAAGGTCTGTTCGCTTATTTTCTCAAACTACTTATCTCTCTTTCTATTTTGAGGGTGATAATTTCGCCGATCAACCTCACTTGATGCATATTCTAACCACCTTTAAACTATTGTGAAGCTGTATTCTTCGTTCTGAACTTGTCTGGCGGTATTTTACAAAATGCTTCAATTCAGACGACGTTGTCATCTCAATCATGTGACTTTTCGCTTGTCTTGTCATATGTTGGGTCCATTCTGATATATATGCATATATATATGTATATATAATTTCACTAATTTCGATGATTATTTCTACGGGCATTAAACAGCGCTTTTATTTGTATGAGAGAAGAGGCGTTCAGCAAAATGAGTTACACTCTTCCGTTATATCATTCTCATGCTATACATTCGCATGTATTGACAGGATTGAATAGCATCC